GGTGGCGCTACGATCGAGCCCAGGAATTCCAGCCAAGTTCGGCAAGGGTGGAAACTGGACTTTTAAAGTCAGTTAACTCCCTTGCCTCGGGAAGATGGTGAGGCGCTGGAGGGTTAACAGGCGCCATCTATTGCATCCTACCGGGTACCAATTGGAGTTATCTTTAACTACAAGACAGATATGCATTATACATTTTCACCTAGCACATGAAAAAATAGTCTTGAGGGGCTTGAATCAAACTTGCTGGGACTTATTTACATAGCTTAACCCCACTTTAAAACACCTCGATATTAAAAGACAGCCATGCTAAACGTGGCCGGGAGACTTTGGCCAATCTAACATTTTAAGGACGCTTCCATAGCTGTGGTTGACTCGCCCTTTTGGAATCCTTTCATGGTGCGTAGATTAACAATATATGAACGTTCCTCGGTTTCGGAGACTATAGTCATCTGCCAGTGGGTGAAGTATGGGCGTTACCTTTGGCCTGAATGACCGATGGGTACCAGAGGTCAAGAACTGTCGTTTTCTCAAAATAGACTGACCCATGGGAGGGCCAAGCGTGAGCTCCCTTCGCCATAAGGGCTCAGTCACACATTCGGGATTTTTATTGCCGGCCTTGATAGGACCATTCCCGATTGAAATTTGTCATAGGTCTGATCAAGTGATCCTTTGATTCGTTGCGGGAAACTCACAAACAATCAGAGATTGTTCAGAAAGTGTTCCGATTCAGCCGTTCCCAGCCGAATTGGTCCCGACTCTCCCGTTCTCAATTCGAATCTGATCCGATTTGTATCTTCCGCATGGTAAAAAACGACCGAATCTGTCGCGACAGCGTCCCGATTCTCCGGAATGCGATCCGACAGAGATCAGACAGTGACCGGACAGTGAACCGACAAAGACGGTTCGCAATCGGCAAGATCTGGACGCAATCTGGACTTAACTGACAAGAATCGGCAATAACAATTCATGCCCGTTACACGACATCGTCCCGTTCCACAGGACACCGTCCAGACAACACAGGGCATTTTTACGACTTTGTTCCGATACAGCAGAATCCGTCACGACATAGTCACGATTGTAATCCGACAAGACAAAATCGCCTGAGTTTCCCCGAATGTAACGGGACGCATCACACTGTCGGGAGTGCTTGGCCGACCTCTCTAGACCTTTCCCGATACGACTGCGTTCAGACAATGATAGGACATTCCAGATCATTGAGGATAGGAATCCGACTATTTCACTTTTCGTGTCGTAGTGCTGTCTGATCTCAAACGGGAGCCATAATCGGCACTGTGTGAACCTGGCCTAAGACGGACACACACAGTCAATGTGTAAAATGACTGAAATGTTCACTTTGGCAGATTTCTCAGTCAATTTCTAATATGACAGAAATGTTATGGGGTATTACGAATTGCCAGAGTGAATCACATTTTACATTTGACTTGAGATTTTACGAGCGCATCAAAATCAGATCTCGCAAGTCTCCATAGAAACTTGTCTGAATCACCTGGAACGTGACTTGCCTTCGCCCCGTGTGAAACCAGAGACGGTTGGTTCAGAGATTAACATACCGTGCGTGTCACGGTAATTTGATGAGCTGTGTGATTGTAAACTAGACAAAAGGGACATGCAAATAACGATTGCATAAACTGCCTGTACACATTGCCGGATGTTCGTCAAGTTGGGTAAACTTGCGTAACGCTGCCGAACAGAAAAAACATCGCACGCACCTGCTGTCCGTCATCTGCTGTGACCGGCGCCATCCTCCCCAGCACGTCACCTGGCAGTGGTGGGGGTTGACGGATGGGGGACGATAGACAGGAGCGGTGGGGAGAAGTGTCGTGTGGGATGGGATTTGGAGGGTTGGGATTCAAAGGAGCTGGCGGTCTTTATTGACCGTTGCGATATTCGTAAGGAGTGTGGAAGTTTTTGAGCCCATGTTGTAATGGTTGTCTTATTTCTTTAATAAAGACACGTCAGTTTTAAAAACATTGACTAGAAGTAACCATACAATAGATTCTCCAAATACCATTGTCGATGTCGTCTTTCTAACCGTTTGTGGAGTGAGTTGATGTAAGTGTGTGTGTTCCTCAAAATAAGATTAACCATTTGTTGTGTATTTTGCGGTTTAAAAAAAATTACAACTGTTCCGTAACGTTTTTTCTGCTAAGAAACATCTGTGCCCGGACAACTAAAACCATTATCATAGATAATAGAAACAAACAAAACAAAATAAACCCGTTTATGTCATGATATTCAACTTCACATGGTGTAGATCCTGTATGAATTCGAGGTTAATTAAAATATTAAGGTGTCCAATGAATTTGCATTAGTTTATATAAATTCCTAATGGTTAAAGCGTTCGTTCGTCACGCTGAAGACCCGGGCTCGATTCCCGACATGGGTACAATGTGTGAATACCATTTCTGGTGACCCCCGCCGTGATATTGCTGAACCATTTCTAAAAGCGGCGTAAAACCATACTCACTCACTCACTTATGTAAATTCCTAGTTATCCAAGAGAAGATGATGTACGCGCAGTTTGCAATTTGAAGTGACCATTATTTGAATACATTTCCTTCATTCCGATTACCTTTAAATGATGCTCATCTCACGGTAAAGGAAATACTAGTAGTATTACTTTGGAGGATTTTTTCCAAAACTCGAACGGTAGGCAATTCCAAATACCGATTCGCTAAAAGTACATTGAGAAATACAGCTTCGCTGTTCCTAAATTGTCTAAATCGACTGTGGCCATATATAGTGGACATAAACCCAGAAAACCACGACAAACATAAGTATACGATACTTCATCAGCGCCGACACACCCATTGTGCCATGTTAGCTGCCACAATGCTTTACTTGTGGACGAATTTAATATTGTTTGCATTTATTTGAGGTACTCGTACTCGGTGTGTATTCCTGCAGCGGATTTACAGAAAGTGTTTACATCCATTTTTATTTTTATACGTCCACAAATGCAAACAAATATTGAAGTCTATTCCTATAAACTAATAACTCAACAATGATAAACTTCACAGGCCGCTTATGTACTCATTAACATAGAAAAGTGAGCGAGTGGGTTGGGCTTAACGCCGCTTTTAACAGTATTCCAGTCATATCACGGCGTGTCAGCTTAATGTAGGAGGAAAGCACAAAGAGATGCAGGTCTCAGACGTTTACCACTTCAGTGAAACCCACGAGCACGGGTATGGTGCTGTCAAACCTAGAAACATAATCGGGGCGAGCCGGGATTCGAACCTACAGTCACAGGATTCTGGCGTGCCCAAGGGACGCAACTCTGCACAGCGAATTGCGGCGCCTTAGCCCGTGCCCCCTTTAATAGAAAACTGTAGACAACCAAACGAAATCAGTGGCACCAGTCGGCGCAATCACGGAACACAATCCCCGCTCACTCAATTATCAAGCAATCAGGAAACGGTAAAGAAGAGTTTTATGGATGTCAACTTCTTTATTATGAAGGGCCAAAGACGAATGTGTATATGCGTCTTTGGAAGTACACAACGTTTCGGAGCATATACTTACTCCTTCATCTGGTGAATTCACCTGACAAAGGAGTATATACTCCGAAAAATTGTGTTCCTCATTATAAGGAAGTTAACGTCCATAAATTCCATTCCTTATGTGCCTCTTCCTTAAATGCCTCTCAAAGACTTCAGGAAACAGAAGTCCGTTAGGGGGCGTGGCCTCATCTGTTTCAGGTTATGGAAACATATTTGATTGTTAACAGTCAGACGTGATATACATAAATATATATGACGATGGCGTGCAATACTATTACTTGCACGTTGGTTGATGTTCTAGAGTATGCATGCAAAACCAATACTTTTGTTTGTTGTTTGTTTGTTGTTTAACGCCGCACTCAGCAATATTCCAGCTATATGAAGCGGGTGTAAACAATCGAGTCTGGAACAGACAATTCAGTGATTGATGTCATGAGCATCGATCCACGCATTTTGGGATACAATGACATGCATCAACAAAGTCAGCGAGTCTGACCACCGGACCCCGTTAGTCGCCTCTTACAAAATCAATGCTTACATAATCTTGCGATTATTAATAATATAACCTTGTTTCTGAGATCTAACATCCAAATAAATTGACATTGTACCAAAACAACCTTCGTGATACGCGGCTGTCACATGTCATTGATTTAAAGACTCAAACCAACCTAAACTCACAACCATCCATAATTTCTGTTCGTTCTAGACGTCTATGCGTTAAAAGCGAAATTAACCAAAGCCACCACCTACACATACGACATACGAACATTGAAAACATTCCTGTTAAAACCGACCAATGAGACAACTCGTTGAATGAATGAAAACATGAGCGAACGTTTTAACCATTTGCCCCCCCCCCCCCCCCCCCCCCCCCCCCACACACACACACACACACCCTCCCTCCTCCTCCTCCTTACCGTTAATTCCTTTCTCACACAGATCATAACATGAGACATATTTCCTGAACGCTTCCAAGCCAGACTACAATACATTATGTTGGCAAGTCTACATTCTTTGGGCTTCTTTCTGATATATACATGACATGCTAAAACGTGTTTTAATTGCTGCTATCTATTACATGTTATCCGACCCCGAAACAAAATTACCTGCATTTAACGAATTTAAACTGTTGTTGTTTTAGTCAGTAGTGAGTGCGGAATGATAGACAACGTGCGCGTCATCAACTATAGCCAGTGCCGAGCCGAGACAAGGGAATTCAGGACTATTCTCCGTGTGTTTATCTTCCAGTACATGAACTCCCTGTCCCCGCGACGACCCTGCTTCCCTGACTTAACCTACATAATATACCTATATCTGTGTTTACCCTCTTCACAGCACAATACATAGCTGTCAATCAAACGAATCAGGCATTGATGTAGCGCGCCCAGTTACCATTGCTGACAGTGTATATACATGTATATTACAATCGATATGGTTGTCACAGCCGTCACAGCGCTCAGCTGACATTTCCCAACGCTTCGCGCGGGCAGTAATTACAATAATTTACAAATTCCTGTCGTATCTCGGCTATTGTAGTGTAACACATTCCACGATCAGCCGCACGGGGTATTGTTTTAGTCCATCTAGAGCGGGAAACCATACCGTGCCATGTAGGTCAAAGGTGAAGTTATGTCACAGGTCAGAGTTGAGCGCTGATCGTGACGGACCGCGCTGTGAGTGACTGCCTCTCAAAGAACAGCCAAGCAAGAAGGAGTCGATCGGAATACGAACCCATGTGTTGTCAGAGTGGGGACAGCGGATAGTTAGTTGTCAGCAGAATGGACGATACCATTGACGATGTGGACGTTAATGACGATTTGGATCCAAGAATCCAGGTAAGAAAGTCGAAGTCAGTGTTGTATTTTGGTTGCCCTAAGTCTCTCCTCACCCCGTTCGCCGGTGTTTATTTCCACGCTCTGAATTCCTCACGATACGCCCCCAACTCAGTAACGCCGTTTCTCTACTGGTCATATATTAATCACATAAAAATATGTATTTCGTACCCTACCTAGATTATTGTTAGCTGTAAGTACAAAGCATATATGATTGATATATAAAATAAAGTCACTATGTTTAACATGCTATGCACACATGGGACACACGGCTGTATGAGACTAGCGCTGTTGGGGACCTCTGTTCGAGCAAAACATTCCTTGAATATTGTTTCCCACATCCTGGTGTATGAATGTTTTATGACATGACTATCGTGATGTAAGCAAGTCTGTCACACATGCAATCATGTAACCCACGTTTTACTTTGTGTTCGCCTCAGGCGGTACATATATATGCACATTTGAAAAAGCAATAGAAACGAGATTGATTATGGTAATAACGTCGTTCACACACCTGCACAGGTAAATTATATTGCGTGAACAGAAAGTGTAGAAATATCGTGTTGGGACAGTGTGTGTTCTTATCATCGCGAAGGAGCAGACTCCCCCTTAACACTCTTGCTATGCAAACAGTGTCGTCCTGGAATGTCTCCGTCGACCGCTGTGGAGGCGGGGTAGTCAAGAAGAAAAGTATTTTATCATCGACAGATAGTCAGTTAGTATAATATGTAGTGTAGGTTCTGTACTGGGCTGTCACCTTTCTCCGGCGGCTTTGATCAATACCGCCACAACGGCGATGTGGACGCTGGTGGGGTGAGCTTTCATATCTACATCTTGCCAGCTGTGACTGGGGTGGTTGTGTGAGGGGTGGAGCGAGGAATTGTTATGTATGTGCACGTGTCTATTGATTATTGATGACACGTGTTATGGGAGCTGTTTGACATGGAGAGGATGGTTTACAATGTCACAGCTAGGTCTGGTGGGCCAGTGGCTCATTGGTTCGACCGTCGTACATGCAGTCTGGGTTTGATCCCAGTGTGGGTTTATTGGATGCATAAACTGACCGACAAAAGAAACGCGAATACCATACTTGTTGGTTAATAGAGCTATTAGATTGGTTCGGCGCTCAGTCGAACATACTTGTATGTTGTGTTAATGGACGCTCAGGGACGCATCACATGTGATGTCATAGATCCATGACTCGAGATGCACCATTTGTCCCGTGCAGGATTAGCGTGTAAAGTTTGGAAATCACGTGCAGCATATCGGGATAAGAATAAAAACACTTTGTGCTGACACTTGACTGATTGTTAGTTTTTCATTAAGTGGTAAACAATAGAAACATCTCTTCTTAACGTACATGTCCCGTGAAGATCCGGGGTAGAATAGGTCTTCAGCAATTCGTAAGAGGCGACTAACGGGATCGGATGGTCAGGCTCGCTGACTTGATTGATGCACGTCATCTATCCCAATTGCGTGGATCGATGCTCAAGATGTGAATCACTGGATTGTCTGGTCCAGACTCGATTATTTACAGACCGCCGTCATACTGCTTGAATATTGCTGAGTGCGGCGTTAAACAACTAACAGACATTAAGGAACATACTTGTCTATATGTAGGTATGAATCGCGATTCTTTTGGCGTCGAGTAAACAGACTGTAAACAGTCGTGTGACGTGACCCAAACATATAATTTAGCTTCGATGTTATCTTTAATTGGTCGTGTAAGCCACTGCGATTCGCTGGGCAGGGTTACCTCCCTTAGGCGTGGCAGGGTCCTATGATAAGGGCCTCGAATGCTAGATTTGCCCTTATTATGCCCATCATTTGGGGTCTTCCTGCCAAACCAATCTGGCACGTGGTAATATATAACTGATAAACTGATGGAAGCGGCGCTAAAGTCCTCTCCCTCACTCACTCACCATTGGTTTAATGTTTCAACCACCTTTCTTATTGATATTATGTGATTGTGTTGTGTCGGGGCGGGGTGTAACTCTACAGTGTTTCTTCATCATGTCGAAGGCCGGGTTCGATACCCCACATGGGTACAATGTGTGAAGCCCATTTCTGGTGTCCCCCGCCGTGACATTCCTGGAAGTGTGCAAAAAGCGGCGTAAAACCATACTCACTCACTCATTCCCTTTAATACTAAGGGGCGGTCGGGTAGCCTAGTGGTTAAAGCGTTCGCTCGTCACGCCGAAGACGCGGGTTCGATTCCCGACATGGGTTCAATGTGTGAAGCCCATTTCTGGTGTCCCCCGCCGTGATAATGCTGGAATATTGCTAAAAGCGGCGTAAAACCATACTCACTCACTCACTTTAATACTATACTGAACATAAAAAGTTATGGATCATGAATTTTCTAGGGGATAATTCTGTGGTGAACACTGAGCACAGTATTAAAAAAGATATCCCCCAAAACAGTCATGGTCCCTAACTTATTTTGTTCAGTATATATCAAACATCAAACTCACAACAAACAAGCACTCACTAGCAATCAGAGCGTGAGAGAGCTACAAAAATAACGCATACATGCATGTTGAGAAGAACGACTTAAAGGTGATTGTGTTAAAGTAGTCGCTGGTCTTTGTGACTAATGTTATGATCACAGAGTACTTGCCTGGCGTATGTTATGCATGGCTATGCGTTATCAAAGGACAGCCGGATCTTCGCGGGAAGAAAACACCACCTATATAATTTAATGTAACCGAAAACTTAGACAAGCATTCATGTAAATATTTTGTTTGTTTGTTTGTTGTTTAACGCCGCACCCAGCAATATACCAGCAACATGACGGCGGTCTGTTAATATTCGAGTCTGGACCAGACAATCCAGTGACTGATATCATGAGCATCGATCCACGCAATTGGGATTGATTTCATGCATCAACCAAGTCAGCGAGCCTGACCACCCGATCCCGTTAGTCGCCTCTTACGGGTTGCTGAAGACCTATTCTACCCCTGAACCTTCACGTAGACATAAGGGTATGTACAAATGTCATGTTTACAACAGTCATGTAGCCTTATAAACTCTGTTGACAGGGATCTGTTGACATGAGATCAACTGTAGTTATCTCCATGGGCTGTCCGAGGAAAGATCATGTGTACCTAATCTCTGTCGTTAGAATACACCGATCGGGGATTTTGTGGTCAAAATGGGTGATGTGAATAGTGACATGGGTCTTGTGGTTCAAGTGTTCGCTCGGTACGCCGTTTGCCCGAGTTCGATTCTCCCGATGGTGACAAATGGCGTAAGAGCGACCGTCCAACCCCACCCAAGAGGATTGTGATGGCCGACGATCCGACCAATCCAAACCTAGAAAAAAGCTACTTAACACGGATAGGGTTACTTAGAAGATTGAGGACAAGCTTATATGTCAACACCCTATAGCTGTGTTAAAATGGGCGTTTGGATGATCTAGCGTTCTCCCACTCGCAAAACAACCCGGTACGATCCCCCCACGGAAACACAATGTACATCACTTGTTGACAACCACGTGAGGTCCAAAAGGACCAGGACCAGGACCAGTCCTCTCATCCAGATCAGAGATGACTGATTGGTTATCGATTAACTGACCCCTATTAGGATTTTCCCCAAAGATCACTTCTCACATATATTACCGCGATGTAATGCCGGCCAGGATACGTGTTCTACTAAGCGGTTGATGGTGTCTTACTCAGTCCTGTGACAAGGCTTATGTTAAGGCCCCTGGGTCCGCGTGGCTTGCCGACACGATCTGTAGATGTGTGGCTATGATTGGCACACAAGTGACCGAAACCTGTCTTTCGACTCGCCTCAATCCCACAGTGCATCTCGGTCAGGAATCCATATTTGAACAAGCTTTGTGCACGTGACTATCACATGACACAACACAACATGGCGGCAGCCTTGACCTTAACGTAAACGTTGATAATGGATTTGTAAGTTTGGAATAGTGTCCCGAATTAAAGCGTCAATTTTTAATTAATTCAACTGATTTGAAATTGTCGTTATGGTATACGAAATTAGTGGCAGGACAGGATGGTACACGAAACTGCGTTAATCTCAACCACGTGGCTATTGGAGCGACCATTGATTCTTTTGTGTTTGGAGTGAGTGAGTGAGTGAGTATGGATTTACGCCGCTTGTAACAATATTCCAGCAATATCACGACGGGGGACAACAGAAATGTGGGCATCACACATTGTACCCATGTCGGGAATCGAACCCGGGTCCTCGGTGTGACGATCGAACGCTTTAACCACTAGGCTACCCAACCAGCCCTCTGTTTTTGGAGAGGTGTCATGAATATTATATTATATTATATTATATTATATTATATTATATTATATATAGATATATATATATATATATATATATATATAGTAATAATTAAATAAGTGGAGTAAGATTGAACACAGTTTTAATAGGCTAGCGGTTTCAACTCGTACCACGTACGAGTCTCATCAGGCCATAACTGAATAACGGACATGAAGTAGTCAATATATATATATATTGAGTATACTTAAATACTAAATCCCTATCCATGGATCAAGACGATTACAGGTGTACGCGAGTTAAACCAGTGTAGCTTTGAGCGGTGTGTTAGAAGTATGCCAACCGTTAAAAGCAATGCTTCCTGGGTCACGTTTTGTGAAACTCTATAACATTTCTATTCTTAAGAATGACGCGACGTCGCGTGTTTATGTCTGTGTTCCTCTTCAAACATAGACTGCATTAAGTCTATATCTATCGTAAGAAAACAAATCTCAGATGACCTCAAGCAAGCTGTCCGTGATTTTATCAACAGATAAAAGTAGATTCCTGATTATCTCCCCTTCGCGGAATCAATCAGAACCCTTCAGAATAGTTCACGTATCTTGGATTTGTTTTGATATTTGGAGACGGAGACTGGCTCCAGTCTACACCACGGCCAGGTTGCCGTGTGCAGGTGTGTGAAGTGGACCGCGGAGGACAAGCCATTGTCAAAGCTGGTCTCACAGTTCGCTTACAGCCTGAATCAG